AACAACACTAGATATTGATTCACGGTAGTTCTTGAACACACGTATCAATAACTAGTATGTATCAATATCTAGTGACGTTATACAATCGGCGGCTTGCCGGTGGCTTCCCTCCGGGAGGAATCTGTCGGGAGCACAAACCGCCATTACGGTGCACGTAGGTAAAATTTTACCATTTAACCTACGTGCACCGTAATGTACTTTGTTTTAAAAGATTACATCTTTTTCAAAGTATGTAAAAAAACATACTTTGAAATAATTCACAAAAAATAAATATTTCTAAATGAAATAAGTGGAATTTTTTAATCAAATTAAAATGTCGCACAATTTAAAATTCAGTACTAAACGCAATACGCACTCAACACGATACAATCAACAACTCAGAATGCCAATTGGCTAGTGTATGTCGGATGATCACTTTTCAACTTATTATTATCACTTTGCCCGACTAGGTGATAGCAGTTTTCATAATGACCGGTCAATTTGATAAATTAATGAATATTTATCAAACTGCGCGCTCTTTTTGGTCATTATTCATAATGCCCGATTAATCACTTTGTCCATAACATCTATACTAATATTATAAAGAGGTAATGTTTGTAAGTATGTATGTATGTAAGTTTGTTTGCAGCAGGTAATCTCCGAAACTACTCATCCGATTTCAAAAATTCTTTCACCAATATTTAGAATGGAACTTCAGGGTGGACATAAGCTGTATATTATTCCGTTAAACATTCATATAAATTAAAATATATAATCTAGGTTAAGGCTTTTATGTCCAACAGATGGCGCTAAGTTTGCTTTTCTGTGAGGCATTATGCTTTTCTGTGAGGATGAACTAAAGCAGATCATCTTCTATCTATCTATATAAATAAAAATGTAATATTCGTTTGTTCCTATCGATTCCTTTGAAATTTTGACACAACGCTGCATTCGAATACGCACGTGTTTTTATATAATATACGTGTCGAAATTCCCCCCACTGAAGGGAGATGGTTAGGATTAAGGCTTACGGTAAAGACCTCTGCTTCTATTTATACTATTTTAGATGCGGTTTTTTGCGTTTTAATAGGGTACGTCAACAAAATATACACTAAGAAGAAATTTTTCGAAAAATTCCCCTCCCCACGGGGAAGTGTTATAAATTTATAATAGATACATTTTGAGCCACAACAACGCGTGCGCGGGGTAGTATATATTTCACATAGTTTCCTAGATTATAGCATAATAATATGTATAAAAACTGAAAATTCTGTTAATTTGTAAACGCAGATACTCTCACATAAAAAGCATACTGTACTGTCTGTATATTTAACCTCAGTTATTCGCGATTGAATTTTACTAAATTAACCTGTCTAATCCATAATTTATTTGACAGAAAGAAGTTGTTTATGGCCCGTGTTTATTTGATATATCTAATGTTTTTGTCATGATATTATTTCAAATATCGAAAAAAATATATACATTTCTAATATCGACATAAATGAATATTTCTACGTTTGAATATTATATTTCGATACTTTCATTTTCTTTCACTAAGAATACGTACTTTTATCCTTTTTTTTTAACTTTTTACCAACAAAAAACAATCGAAATAGCGACCTAGCAAAAAATGATAATGAATTCTAAGCTCTGTTGTAGGGATGTCAGCTTATTCGTCCCATCTTTGATATAATTCGTTTTTTCCCTGTATTTACACTCAATTTACGTGAAAATTATTGTATTGTCCTGTTTATATTTAATACCTTATCTTTGTTTCTGTTGAATAAATTGAATTTTACAGTAAAATACTTGGAAACTAAATAATAAAAGCCAAATTAAATAGCTTAATTGTTACAATATCGACTTAAAATGGATAAAAGCATTATTAAATAATTATTATTTATTCGTGCATATCGACCTCTTTCGAAGAAATAATCATTTATTGTACAGTTTATGTAAGCTGAAAATTATTCTCTTGTCTTTGATGAAATTTGTTACAATTTACTAATTTCTACAGAAACAATAAATTTTAAACAATGACATTTGTTAAAATTTATTAGTTCGTACCCAAAACATTAAATTTTAAACATATTTTTTTCATATTTCTTGGCGTTAGCTTTTGGTCAGGTGATCGTTCTATATTTATCAACTTGGCGGGAGATTTTCAGCAGTGATCTGTTTCATATCTAATTTGCATATTTGTGATAGTACATTACTAATCTTTATTAAACAGATCTAGACATTTTATATTATTTAAATCTGACCGGATTAATAAAATAATTATATAAAATTTTTAGTGTTTAGCAGGAAAGCTTCAATGTCACGTGACGTTAGTCATCCCAGTTCGCGGGAGATTTTGCTCAGTGATCTTTTTTATATGTAATTTGCATAATTATAATGGTAAACTATTAATCTTTATTAAACAGATATAGTTATTGTGTATTAATTAAATTCATCGGGTTTCATGGAAGAACTTTTCAAAACTTTTAGAGTTTATTCAGAAAAATTTATCCTTTTGTCACGTGAGGAGTATTTTCAGTCTATCCCATATGCATCAGTTCGCGCCAGATTTCTTAGAGTTCGGTTTACTGTTTCCTTGGTGTTTCTCGTTATCTTCTGAAGATCACTGCGATAATTTTTTATTTCATGTATGGATACATTATGCGCTGTTTTTAATGGATGTAAGGTGGAAATTTTGCTGTGAATTTAGAACTTGTTTCAGAATATGCTACAGGAAGAAAAGTTGAAAAATAATTTATTTTCGACAATTAGCGAGAACTGATCTTTGTATATGGGGGTAATACTTGGATATAAGTGAATGTATGTATTATAGACTTACTAATTTATTTGTGCATATAATTATCTAGTCCTAATTTTGAAACATTTATGTTTTTTAGTGTTTATAAGCCTGTTATTTAGACATGTCTACCGATTTAGTGCTATTACGTAGAACTATATCAAAGACCGAATGGAGGATTGATCCAACTTTAAGACAAGTTGGACAAGGGGGTTTAGAATTAGTGGACGTCAATTTATTTCATTAAATTTTATACAGTTTATGCATTTTATTATATTTATTTCAGAGTTTCTTGTATGTTTCATTTTTACTTCCGGTATCTACATTCATAAAGTGATGAAGGTTTTAATGGGGGTTGAGTTATGTTGGACATCTGAGGAGGAGGGGTTACAAAAACTTGGACAAACTGGGACAAAAGGAGGTGAGTAAAAATTTCAAGAAAAATGAAGATGTAATTTATGGACAGCCCAAGTGCTTAATTAGACTGCAGAAAATGGACTTACACTACATCACTTTCATAATCAATGGTTATGCAATTTACCGATGAATTTTTAATTGATCAAAATGTATGGTTATTTCAAAATACTAAGTGTGAATTGTTTATAAATAAAAAGTTCACACTAAATTGTATGTATATTATGTGTTTTCTCAATTTTTTCCAAAAATGGACTTACACCACTTTCAAAATAAACGGTCCATATATNTTTTTTTTTTTTTTTTTTTTTTTTTTTTTTTTTTTTTTTTTTTTTTTTTTTTTTTTTTTTTTTTTTTTTTTTTTTTTTTTTTTTTTTTTTTTTTTTTTTTTTTTTTTTTTTTTTTTTTTTTTTTTTTTTTTTTTTTTTTTTTTTTTTTTTTTTTTTTTTTTTTTTTTTTTTTTTTTTTTTTTTTTTTTTTTTTTTTTTTTTTTTTTTTTTTTTTTTTTTTTTTTTTTTTTTTTTTTTTTTTTTTTTTTTTTTTTTTTTTTTTTTTTTTTTTTTTTTTTTTTTTTTTTTTTTTTTTTTTTTTTTTTTTTTTTTTTTTTTTTTTTTTTTTTTTTTTTTTTTTTTTTTTTTTTTTTTTTTTTTTTTTTTTTTTTTTTTTTTTTTTTTTTTTTTTTTTTTTTTTTTTTTTTTTTTTTTTTTTTTTTTTTTTTTTTTTTTTTTTTTTTTTTTTTTTTTTTTTTTTTTTTTTTTTTTTTTTTTTTTTTTTTTTTTTTTTTTTTTTTTTTTTTTTTTTTTTTTTTTTTTTTTTTTTTTTTTTTTTTTTTTTTTTTTTTTTTTTTTTTTTTTTTTTTTTTTTTTTTTTTTTTTTTTTTTTTTTTTTTTTTTTTTTTTTTTTTTTTTTTTTTTTTTTTTTTTTTTTTTTTTTTTTTTTTTTTTTTTTTTTTTTTTTTTTTTTTTTTTTTTTTTTTTTTTTTTTTTTTTTTTTTTTTTTTTTTTTTTTTTTTTTTTTTTTTTTTTTTTTTTTTTTTTTTTTTTTTTTTTTTTTTTTTTTTTTTTTTTTTTTTTTTTTTTTTTTTTTTTTTTTTTTTTTTTTTTTTTTTTTTTTTTTTTTTTTTTTTTTTTTTTTTTTTTTTTTTTTTTTTTTTTTTTTTTTTTTTTTTTTTTTTTTTTTTTTTTTTTTTTTTTTTTTTTTTTTTTTTTTTTTTTTTTTTTTTTTTTTTTTTTTTTTTTTTTTTTTTTTTTTTTTTTTTTTTTTTTTTTTTTTTTTTTTTTTTTTTTTTTTTTTTTTTTTTTTTTTTTTTTTTTTTTTTTTTTTTTTTTTTTTTTTTTTTTTTTTTTTTTTTTTTTTTTTTTTTTTTTTTTTTTTTTTTTTTTTTTTTTTTTTTTTTTTTTTTTTTTTTTTTTTTTTTTTTTTTTTTTTTTTTTTTTTTTTTTTTTTTTTTTTTTTTTTTTTTTTTTTTTTTTTTTTTTTTTTTTTTTTTTTTTTTTTTTTTTTTTTTTTTTTTTTTTTTTTTTTTTTTTTTTTTTTTTTTTTTTTTTTTTTTTTTTTTTTTTTTTTTTTTTTTTTTTTTTTTTTTTTTTTTTTTTTTTTTTTTTTTTTTTTTTTTTTTTTTTTTTTTTTTTTTTTTTTTTTTTTTTTTTTTTTTTTTTTTTTTTTTTTTTTTTTTTTTTTTTTTTTTTTTTTTTTTTTTTTTTTTTTTTTTTTTTTTTTTTTTTTTTTTTTTTTTTTTTTTTTTTTTTTTTTTTTTTTTTTTTTTTTTTTTTTTTTTTTTTTTTTTTTTTTTTTTTTTTTTTTTTTTTTTTTTTTTTTTTTTTTTTTTTTTTTTTTTTTTTTTTTTTTTTTTTTTTTTTTTTTTTTTTTTTTTTTTTTTTTTTTTTTTTTTTTTTTTTTTTTTTTTTTTTTTTTTTTTTTTTTTTTTTTTTTTTTTTTTTTTTTTTTTTTTTTTTTTTTTTTTTTTTTTTTTTTTTTTTTTTTTTTTTTTTTTTTTTTTTTTTTTTTTTTTTTTTTTTTTTTTTTTTTTTTTTTTTTTTTTTTTTTTTTTTTTTTTTTTTTTTTTTTTTTTTTTTTTTTTTTTTTTTTTTTTTTTTTTTTTTTTTTTTTTTTTTTTTTTTTTTTTTTTTTTTTTTTTTTTTTTTTTTTTTTTTTTTTTTTTTTTTTTTTTTTTTTTTTTTTTTTTTTTTTTTTTTTTTTTTTTTTTTTTTTTTTTTTTTTTTTTTTTTTTTTTTTTTTTTTTTTTTTTTTTTTTTTTTTTTTTTTTTTTTTTTTTTTTTTTTTTTTTTTTTTTTTTTTTTTTTTTTTTTTTTTTTTTTTTTTTTTTTTTTTTTTTTTTTTTTTTTTTTTTTTTTTTTTTTTTTTTTTTTTTTTTTTTTTTTTTTTTTTTTTTTTTTTTTTTTTTTTTTTTTTTTTTTTTTTTTTTTTTTTTTTTTTTTTTTTTTTTTTTTTTTTTTTTTTTTTTTTTTTTTTTTTTTTTTTTTTTTTTTTTTTTTTTTTTTTTTTTTTTTTTTTTTTTTTTTTTTTTTTTTTTTTTTTTTTTTTTTTTTTTTTTTTTTTTTTTTTTTTTTTTTTTTTTTTTTTTTTTTTTTTTTTTTTTTTTTTTTTTTTTTTTTTTTTTTTTTTTTTTTTTTTTTTTTTTTTTTTTTTTTTTTTTTTTTTTTTTTTTTTTTTTTTTTTTTTTTTTTTTTTTTTTTTTTTTTTTTTTTTTTTTTTTTTTTTTTTTTTTTTTTTTTTTTTTTTTTTTTTTTTTTTTTTTTTTTTTTTTTTTTTTTTTTTTTTTTTTTTTTTTTTTTTTTTTTTTTTTTTTTTTTTTTTTTTTTTTTTTTTTTTTTTTTTTTTTTTTTTTTTTTTTTTTTTTTTTTTTTTTTTTTTTTTTTTTTTTTTTTTTTTTTTTTTTTTTTTTTTTTTTTTTTTTTTTTTTTTTTTTTTTTTTTTTTTTTTTTTTTTTTTTTTTTTTTTTTTTTTTTTTTTTTTTTTTTTTTTTTTTTTTTTTTTTTTTTTTTTTTTTTTTTTTTTTTTTTTTTTTTTTTTTTTTTTTTTTTTTTTTTTTTTTTTTTTTTTTTTTTTTTTTTTTTTTTTTTTTTTTTTTTTTTTTTTTTTTTTTTTTTTTTTTTTTTTTTTTTTTTTTTTTTTTTTTTTTTTTTTTTTTTTTTTTTTTTTTTTTTTTTTTTTTTTTTTTTTTTTTTTTTTTTTTTTTTTTTTTTTTTTTTTTTTTTTTTTTTTTTTTTTTTTTTTTTTTTTTTTTTTTTTTTTTTTTTTTTTTTTTTTTTTTTTTTTTTTTTTTTTTTTTTTTTTTTTTTTTTTTTTTTTTTTTTTTTTTTTTTTTTTTTTTTTTTTTTTTTTTTTTTTTTTTTTTTTTTTTTTTTTTTTTTTTTTTTTTTTTTTTTTTTTTTTTTTTTTTTTTTTTTTTTTTTTTTTTTTTTTTTTTTTTTTTTTTTTTTTTTTTTTTTTTTTTTTTTTTTTTTTTTTTTTTTTTTTTTTTTTTTTTTTTTTTTTTTTTTTTTTTTTTTTTTTTTTTTTTTTTTTTTTTTTTTTTTTTTTTTTTTTTTTTTTTTTTTTTTTTTTTTTTTTTTTTTTTTTTTTTTTTTTTTTTTTTTTTTTTTTTTTTTTTTTTTTTTTTTTTTTTTTTTTTTTTTTTTTTTTTTTTTTTTTTTTTTTTTTTTTTTTTTTTTTTTTTTTTTTTTTTTTTTTTTTTTTTTTTTTTTTTTTTTTTTTTTTTTTTTTTTTTTTTTTTTTTTTTTTTTTTTTTTTTTTTTTTTTTTTTTTTTTTTTTTTTTTTTTTTTTTTTTTTTTTTTTTTTTTTTTTTTTTTTTTTTTTTTTTTTTTTTTTTTTTTTTTTTTTTTTTTTTTTTTTTTTTTTTTTTTTTTTTTTTTTTTTTTTTTTTTTTTTTTTTTTTTTTTTTTTTTTTTTTTTTTTTTTTTTTTTTTTTTTTTTTTTTTTTTTTTTTTTTTTTTTTTTTTTTTTTTTTTTTTTTTTTTTTTTTTTTTTTTTTTTTTTTTTTTTTTTTTTTTTTTTTTTTTTTTTTTTTTTTTTTTTTTTTTTTTTTTTTTTTTTTTTTTTTTTTTTTTTTTTTTTTTTTTTTTTTTTTTTTTTTTTTTTTTTTTTTTTTTTTTTTTTTTTTTTTTTTTTTTTTTTTTTTTTTTTTTTTTTTTTTTTTTTTTTTTTTTTTTTTTTTTTTTTTTTTTTTTTTTTTTTTTTTTTTTTTTTTTTTTTTTTTTTTTTTTTTTTTTTTTTTTTTTTTTTTTTTTTTTTTTTTTTTTTTTTTTTTTTTTTTTTTTTTTTTTTTTTTTTTTTTTTTTTTTTTTTTTTTTTTTTTTTTTTTTTTTTTTTTTTTTTTTTTTTTTTTTTTTTTTTTTTTTTTTTTTTTTTTTTTTTTTTTTTTTTTTTTTTTTTTTTTTTTTTTTTTTTTTTTTTTTTTTTTTTTTTTTTTTTTTTTTTTTTTTTTTTTTTTTTTTTTTTTTTTTTTTTTTTTTTTTTTTTTTTTTTTTTTTTTTTTTTTTTTTTTTTTTTTTTTTTTTTTTTTTTTTTTTTTTTTTTTTTTTTTTTTTTTTTTTTTTTTTTTTTTTTTTTTTTTTTTTTTTTTTTTTTTTTTTTTTTTTTTTTTTTTTTTTTTTTTTTTTTTTTTTTTTTTTTTTTTTTTTTTTTTTTTTTTTTTTTTTTTTTTTTTTTTTTTTTTTTTTTTTTTTTTTTTTTTTTTTTTTTTTTTTTTTTTTTTTTTTTTTTTTTTTTTTTTTTTTTTTTTTTTTTTTTTTTTTTTTTTTTTTTTTTTTTTTTTTTTTTTTTTTTTTTTTTTTTTTTTTTTTTTTTTTTTTTTTTTTTTTTTTTTTTTTTTTTTTTTTTTTTTTTTTTTTTTTTTTTTTTTTTTTTTTTTTTTTTTTTTTTTTTTTTTTTTTTTTTTTTTTTTTTTTTTTTTTTTTTTTTTTTTTTTTTTTTTTTTTTTTTTTTTTTTTTTTTTTTTTTTTTTTTTTTTTTTTTTTTTTTTTTTTTTTTTTTTTTTTTTTTTTTTTTTTTTTTTTTTTTTTTTTTTTTTTTTTTTTTTTTTTTTTTTTTTTTTTTTTTTTTTTTTTTTTTTTTTTTTTTTTTTTTTTTTTTTTTTTTTTTTTTTTTTTTTTTTTTTTTTTTTTTTTTTTTTTTTTTTTTTTTTTTTTTTTTTTTTTTTTTTTTTTTTTTTTTTTTTTTTTTTTTTTTTTTTTTTTTTTTTTTTTTTTTTTTTTTTTTTTTTTTTTTTTTTTTTTTTTTTTTTTTTTTTTTTTTTTTTTTTTTTTTTTTTTTTTTTTTTTTTTTTTTTTTTTTTTTTTTTTTTTTTTTTTTTTTTTTTTTTTTTTTTTTTTTTTTTTTTTTTTTTTTTTTTTTTTTTTTTTTTTTTTTTTTTTTTTTTTTTTTTTTTTTTTTTTTTTTTTTTTTTTTTTTTTTTTTTTTTTTTTTTTTTTTTTTTTTTTTTTTTTTTTTTTTTTTTTTTTTTTTTTTTTTTTTTTTTTTTTTTTTTTTTTTTTTTTTTTTTTTTTTTTTTTTTTTTTTTTTTTTTTTTTTTTTTTTTTTTTTTTTTTTTTTTTTTTTTTTTTTTTTTTTTTTTTTTTTTTTTTTTTTTTTTTTTTTTTTTTTTTTTTTTTTTTTTTTTTTTTTTTTTTTTTTTTTTTTTTTTTTTTTTTTTTTTTTTTTTTTTTTTTTTTTTTTTTTTTTTTTTTTTTTTTTTTTTTTTTTTTTTTTTTTTTTTTTTTTTTTTTTTTTTTTTTTTTTTTTTTTTTTTTTTTTTTTTTTTTTTTTTTTTTTTTTTTTTTTTTTTTTTTTTTTTTTTTTTTTTTTTTTTTTTTTTTTTTTTTTTTTTTTTTTTTTTTTTTTTTTTTTTTTTTTTTTTTTTTTTTTTTTTTTTTTTTTTTTTTTTTTTTTTTTTTTTTTTTTTTTTTTTTTTTTTTTTTTTTTTTTTTTTTTTTTTTTTTTTTTTTTTTTTTTTTTTTTTTTTTTTTTTTTTTTTTTTTTTTTTTTTTTTTTTTTTTTTTTTTTTTTTTTTTTTTTTTTTTTTTTTTTTTTTTTTTTTTTTTTTTTTTTTTTTTTTTTTTTTTTTTTTTTTTTTTTTTTTTTTTTTTTTTTTTTTTTTTTTTTTTTTTTTTTTTTTTTTTTTTTTTTTTTTTTTTTTTTTTTTTTTTTTTTTTTTTTTTTTTTTTTTTTTTTTTTTTTTTTTTTTTTTTTTTTTTTTTTTTTTTTTTTTTTTTTTTTTTTTTTTTTTTTTTTTTTTTTTTTTTTTTTTTTTTTTTTTTTTTTTTTTTTTTTTTTTTTTTTTTTTTTTTTTTTTTTTTTTTTTTTTTTTTTTTTTTTTTTTTTTTTTTTTTTTTTTTTTTTTTTTTTTTTTTTTTTTTTTTTTTTTTTTTTTTTTTTTTTTTTTTTTTTTTTTTTTTTTTTTTTTTTTTTTTTTTTTTTTTTTTTTTTTTTTTTTTTTTTTTTTTTTTTTTTTTTTTTTTTTTTTTTTTTTTTTTTTTTTTTTTTTTTTTTTTTTTTTTTTTTTTTTTTTTTTTTTTTTTTTTTTTTTTTTTTTTTTTTTTTTTTTTTTTTTTTTTTTTTTTTTTTTTTTTTTTTTTTTTTTTTTTTTTTTTTTTTTTTTTTTTTTTTTTTTTTTTTTTTTTTTTTTTTTTTTTTTTTTTTTTTTTTTTTTTTTTTTTTTTTTTTTTTTTTTTTTTTTTTTTTTTTTTTTTTTTTTTTTTTTTTTTTTTTTTTTTTTTTTTTTTTTTTTTTTTTTTTTTTTTTTTTTTTTTTTTTTTTTTTTTTTTTTTTTTTTTTTTTTTTTTTTTTTTTTTTTTTTTTTTTTTTTTTTTTTTTTTTTTTTTTTTTTTTTTTTTTTTTTTTTTTTTTTTTTTTTTTTTTTTTTTTTTTTTTTTTTTTTTTTTTTTTTTTTTTTTTTTTTTTTTTTTTTTTTTTTTTTTTTTTTTTTTTTTTTTTTTTTTTTTTTTTTTTTTTTTTTTTTTTTTTTTTTTTTTTTTTTTTTTTTTTTTTTTTTTTTTTTTTTTTTTTTTTTTTTTTTTTTTTTTTTTTTTTTTTTTTTTTTTTTTTTTTTTTTTTTTTTTTTTTTTTTTTTTTTTTTTTTTTTTTTTTTTTTTTTTTTTTTTTTTTTTTTTTTTTTTTTTTTTTTTTTTTTTTTTTTTTTTTTTTTTTTTTTTTTTTTTTTTTTTTTTTTTTTTTTTTTTTTTTTTTTTTTTTTTTTTTTTTTTTTTTTTTTTTTTTTTTTTTTTTTTTTTTTTTTTTTTTTTTTTTTTTTTTTTTTTTTTTTTTTTTTTTTTTTTTTTTTTTTTTTTTTTTTTTTTTTTTTTTTTTTTTTTTTTTTTTTTTTTTTTTTTTTTTTTTTTTTTTTTTTTTTTTTTTTTTTTTTTTTTTTTTTTTTTTTTTTTTTTTTTTTTTTTTTTTTTTTTTTTTTTTTTTTTTTTTTTTTTTTTTTTTTTTTTTTTTTTTTTTTTTTTTTTTTTTTTTTTTTTTTTTTTTTTTTTTTTTTTTTTTTTTTTTTTTTTTTTTTTTTTTTTTTTTTTTTTTTTTTTTTTTTTTTTTTTTTTTTTTTTTTTTTTTTTTTTTTTTTTTTTTTTTTTTTTTTTTTTTTTTTTTTTTTTTTTTTTTTTTTTTTTTTTTTTTTTTTTTTTTTTTTTGCTTCTACGATTCACGATACATTCGCAATCGTGTATGCCACTAATGTCAAACGGGACTATTTTGTACGGGTAACTACACCACCACCGCATTTTTTATTAATTTTTTTTTCACACAACTGAATTTTGATCTTTTAAATTGAAATACCTGATTAAAGGGTGGCCGAAATTTTTCTCCGCCCCGCGCGGCTAACACCCACGGTACGCCACTGCGCATCTGAACTCGTCTATCAAAAAATTGGCGCATGGTATGCAAAAGGTTGGCCACCCCTGATCTAGGCCAACTAATTACCCTTGTCCCCTTGATTTATTTCTTGTTTTTCTGTAAATAATAATGAATAGAATAAAATAATTTTGTAATTACAATAATATTTTTGATGTATTTGTAGGTAATATTTTAATTTAATTTTTCTGTGTGTGTTATTTTTCATTGTTTTTAAAATGTTTCGGTTTAACCTATTTTTCGGTTTAATGATGTAAAAACTTGGTTTATTTTAGACTTTTTTAACCACATATCTGGTTTATTTTGAAGAAACAGATGGTAACACTGCAAAAACGTTCCTGATGAGTTTCAGCATAAATGAACAGGGTGTATGTACTGTACATGACATTGCTACTGTAATATCAAGTGGTGGTAGTATTCCATTCAATAGGCAGAAAAGCAGAATCAAAACAAACCAAGATAGACAAGTTTTTTTAAACAAATTGTGAAGTCAAGTGAACTGCTAATGAGCATACATAATTGGCCTCTTTTCATGCTTATAGTGGATACAGTTTGCCACCTTTGTCATACACATGTATGGTATAATATACAATCTTGTTATGTAAGTGTTCCTAGAGAGTAAAGACTAGAGATCTCAAGAGACAATAATTTGAAGTACAGGTATACCTCGCCTTACGTCGGTAATTGGTTCCAGGAGAACGACTTAAGTCGAAAAACAACGTAAGTCGAATTTACTTGTCTCCAAATCTACTTGTCACTAGGCTAAACCATAAATTGCCAATTTCGGTTCTGTATTTTATTTATTAATGCATTTTTAATAATGTATAGTTAATAAGGATCTATTTTAAGCTTACAAACAAATAAATTTTAGTTTTTAATACAGTACAGAAAAAAAGTAATCTAAATTTACAAATGCATGTACTGTAAATACAGTACATACTTGTAAATGTATATATTTTAATATGATTTTATGTGCTTCAAACATTTTTCTAGTGATTACAACTTCAATATTTGAAATCAAATTTAAACAAACAAAAATCAAATTTAAGTCATTTTATTCGACTTTATGTCGAATAAAATGACTTAAATTTGATTTTTATTTTTCCATATACTTTTTTGACAAACGACGTAACTCGAAATGACGTAAGTCGAGGTATACCTGTACAGTCGACCCCCCTATAAGATATAGATACGTTCCATTTTATTAGGAATCCGATTTCTTACAAGTCGTTCCAATCACAGCCCGACACGTGTCAAGTTTACGGACTACGGCTGATTGAAAGGTTTTCTTCCATAAAATTAATCGATTCTACACTAATCCGACTCAACATTTCCAAAATACGTATATTTTTTCGTAGTTTTATAGGAATCGTAATTATAGGGGGGTCGACTGTATAGGTATTTCTTATATATAGGAGGCTAACAAATGGATTTTTTTGAATAATGGATATTTTCCCAGGTGTGCAAGTATATTCACTGTTTGTGATATAACAGTTTCTCAGAACAACAGAATGTTTTCGGTGGTCCAAGTGATCCATTAAAATGAGATTCTACTGTATCTTACTTTTTCTATATGAATGACAATAAAAATACCATTGAGAATTTTAATTACAATACTGTAACTTTATATGACGTCAAAAACAATTTTTATGACAAAAATACATGTTTTATTTAAAGTAACAGAATACACCATTACTTAAAGAAAAGGATAATTTCAGTATCAATTTATTCCTTAATGGCTTTTTCAAATTTTATGTTTCACTTTAGAGTAAGAAATATAAATTCCAAAAAATCAGTTTAAGGAACAAGATGACCATTAATATCAGTCCAGAAATCTTACTGTTATTATTACCATATGCTACTATTGGTCAATGGCAAACATCTTCATTTTTGCATGTCACAAACTGCTTTTAAAATGCTATTAAACTTTTTAATAGAAAGACATTTAAACTGAAGATATGTGAATGACAGTTTAATAGCAGATGGTTCAATTTATCGTTTTTGATGCAGATTTTCTTTAATCCATCTCTCTCTCGCTTTCTGAATCAGATACCATATGTTGCTCTTTTGTATCTCTCTCACTTTCAGAATCTGATGCTATGGTTGGTTTCTTTGTTTCTCCATCACTTTCTGAATCAGAAGCCATCCGTGGTTTTCTTGTTTCATTTTCACTTTCTGAATCAGAAGCCATCTGTGGTTTCCTTGTTTCATTTTCACTTTCTGAATCTGAAGCTACCTGTGGTTTCCTTGTTTCATTTTCACTTTCTGAATCTGAAGCTACCTGTGGTTTCCTTGTTTCATTTTCACTTTCTGAATCAGAAGCCATCTGTGGTTTCCTTGTTTCATTTTCACTTTCTGAATCTGAAGCTACCTGTGGTTTCCTTGTTTCATTTTCACTTTCTGAATCTGAAGCTACCTGTGGTTTCCTTGTTTCATTTTCACTTTCTGAATCGGAAGCTATCTGTGGTTTCTTTGTTTCATTTTCACTGTCTGAATCAGAAGCTATTCTTCGTACTTTTTTATCACTTCCTGCATCACTTTCAGAATCAGACACTACATGTTGTCTTTTCTCTTCATTTTCTACTTCACTTTCAGAATCTGAAGCTATTCTTCTTCTTTTATTGGTCTGAGCTTCTTCACTGCCACTTGGACTTGACGGACTGGGAGGAATTGTAGGTTGTGGAGGTTCTTTGTCACTATCACTATCATCACTAGAGGATATTGTAGCTTTAGATACTACTCGACTACGTTGTTTGGCTGTTAAGCCATCATCAGATACTTTTGTTTTCTTACGCTCTGCTTTTCTTCTTCCATGCTTTTGCTTTTCTTCCTCACTACCACCATCTTCAGCACGATGTCTTTTCTTATGCTTTTTCTTTCTTTCTTTGTTTTCACCACCTTCTCCTTCTGAGCCGCTTGATGCTCTCTTCTTTCTTTTCTTTTTTGGTTCATTTTCGTTCTCTGAACTACTTCCATCTGTAATATAATCATCGTGGATTTTACGACGACCTCCTTTCCTTTTCTCCTCAACCACTTCTGTGAATAGTAATTTATTTTTACTTTTCTCTACAAATTCCTGACGTTTCTGAATTAATTCCATTTCTTGCTTTTGACGCCATTCTTCAAGACGGCGTTGTTCATCAACTAATTTCTGTCGAAGTGCTTCCCTTTCCTCTTCTTGTTTGCGACGCACTTCACGTTCTTCTTCATCTAGACGTTTTGCTCTTGCAACATGATACTGAGCTTGACTTAATAAATCTTGACATTGTCGTGCTTCAGCAGCAGCCTGGGCTAAATCATATTTCATTCTATCACCATGAACACTAAGATACTGGAAATACCTATGAGCCAACCCTAATTCATGAACAGCAGCAAGAACAGTTTTTAAATTACTTTTCTCATCTTTTAATGTTTGTGTTGCTAATTTTTGTAAAACCAAAGCAATATTATATAATAAAACTGTATCATGAGGTGCCACACGGCGTGCTTTCAGTAATACTTGTTTACATTCTTTCAACTTTCCACATCTAAAATAAGCACGAGCAAGATACATTAAAATTTCTACATTGTGATACTTAAAAAATTTTTTCAAACAGTTTTCATACATTTGAATGGCTGCAACATATTGCTTTTGTTCAACATAAATATGAGCTATATTTAACCAAACATCACAAAAATCTGCTGTAGCTTCTCTTACTTGAGCAAATATATCTCTTGCTTCAGATATATAACCTTTATGAGCTAAAACTGCTCCTATTCCATTAGCTGCCCAAATATTTCGTGGATCACATCTTAATACCTGTTTGTACATTGCCAAGGCTCTATCTTGATGTCTTTTCTCCTTTTCTTTGTCTTTTGTTGGTTGATGAAGAGTCTGTAACCATACATTTCCAAGAGCAACTAAAGAATATGTATCATTGCCAGTTACTTCTTGTTTGAGAATACGTTCAAATTTTTTCTGCCCTGGTCCCCATTCTTGTTTAGCTAAATGAAGATTTCCAATTAATGACCAAGCATCAGGATGATCTTGGTTAACTTGTAATGCTTCTTTGAACCAATCAGAAGCTTCGTATATCTGACCCCTATCTCTTGCCATGCAACCAAGTCTTAGATAACAGTCAACATAATTTGGATGTTCTCTTAAGATATTCTTATATAAAGGTTCAGCCATATCAAATTGAAACAAAGATTCCATGAGTCGGGCTAAATTATATGTTGTTGTTACAGATATGGAACTGTAATAATGTTCATCATGTCTTGCTTCAGATCTAGAGCGTTCCAAAGAGGCTTCATAATATCGTTTGGCTTCCTGTAAATTTCCTAAACGAAAATGCAAAGCTCCAACATTATTTAAAATTTCAGGTGGTACATCAGCCTGTACCTTCTCATTTAAAATTTGAGTAGCAATACCATAAGCTGATAGAGCTCCTTGTATATCTGACTGCTCTAAAATTTGTGCTAATTCAATCCAAGCTTCCACATCATCTGGAAACTGTTCTGTTACTTTTTTTAAATGACTTCTTGCTTGATCCCTTTTTGATTGACTTGTAGAATGAGCATAAAGGGAACCTAAAATTTTCATTGTTTCATAATTTCCAGGTTGAACTTTTAAAACCTTTTCAAAACATTGAGCAGCATTTTCACTGTCTCCTCTGTATATGTACATTTGTCCTAATCCAAAATGTGGCAAAACAAATGATGGTGAAGCAAATTGTGTTGCTTGATAGTAATACTGAAATGCTTGATCATAATCTTCTTGAATATGAAATGCTCTAGCAAGCTGATAACAACTTTCAGCTCTCATTGCTTCATTTTCTGTATTATGAAATGCATGTAATGCTAAATGCTGAACTTTATCATAGTCTTTTTTAAAAAAGAAATGATTAGCTAAATGATTTAAAACCATAGGATTTGATGGATCAATAGAATATGCCTTTGATAGCATTTGAACACCATTTCTGATAGAATCAGGTGTTTTCTGATTTAATTCTAATACTGCAAGTCCAACTAATGCTCCTACACAATGGGAATCTAATTGAAGAGCCCTTTCAAAAGCTAATCTTGCTTTATCATGTTTGTTTAATTTATAAAAGCAATGTCCCATTCCAAGTCTAACAGCTGCAGGACATTTTGGATTAGTTCTCAATGCTTTTTTATAAAATGCAAGGGCTCCTCTGTAATCTTTCTTATTAAAAGCTATACATGCTTTACCAAGTAAAGATGGGATATTGTTTGGAGACTGATTTAAAACAAAATTAAACTGTGCATCTGCTTGATCCATCTTATCTCCTTCTAAAAGACAAAAGTAAGCTCTACCTAAAAGATGATTTTGGTCATACATTATGATCTTATCTGCTGTTGTATACAGTAAAGTTGCTTTAGTGAAAAGTTCCCTTTTCTTGTCTTTATTCTTTTCTTTATTAGCTTGTTGCACATAATATGCAGCTAATGTGTCAAAAGCTTTCATCTGATCCCTTTCAAATTCTCTGTAATCAAGATTAGCATCTGTTCGAGATACATCTAATATCTTCACAAATTCATCAACTTTACCTTGCCGATAGTATTCTAATGCTAATGTAACCCATATATTTAATGGTGCTTGTTCTTGACTTAGAATTCCTAAAACTTCATCTCCATCCGGTATCTGATCCAAATCTAGCTCTATGACTTCATCAGTATCCCTCAAGGGAATTTCTATTGATTGTGAAGCCATATTGACTTATTTTTAATTCTGTAAAAAAGTGATTATGAATCAATATAAAATTAATGTAAATTAAATAATATGAAATAAGAGTACAATGTAAGAATTTTTTTGAAGAATTAAACTGAANCCCAGTTCGCGGGAGATTTTGCTCAGTGATCTTTTTTATATGTAATTTGCATAATTATAATGGTAAACTATTAATCTTTATTAAACAGATATAGTTATTGTGTATTAATTAAATTCATCGGGTTTCATGGAAGAACTTTTCAAAACTTTTAGAGTTTATTCAGAAAAATTTATCCTTTTGTCACGTGAGGAGTATTTTCAGTCTATCCCATATGCATCAGTTCGCGCCAGATTTCTTAGAGTTCGGTTTACTGTTTCCTTGGTGTTTCTCGTTATCTTCTGAAGATCACTGCGATAATTTTTTATTTCATGTATGGATACATTATGCGCTGTTTTTAATGGATGTAAGGTGGAAATTTTGCTGTGAATTTAGAACTTGTTTCAGAATATGCTACAGGAAGAAAAGTTGAAAAATAATTTATTTTCGACAATTAGCGAGAACTGATCTTTGTATATGGGGGTAATACTTGGATATAAGTGAATGTATGTATTATAGACTTACTAATTTATTTGTGCATATAATTATCTAGTCCTAATTTTGAAACATTTATGTTTTTTAGTGTTTATAAGCCTGTTATTTAGACATGTCTACCGATTTAGTGCTATTACGTAGAACTATATCAAAGACCGAATGGAGGATTGATCCAACTTTAAGACAAGTTGGACAAGGGGGTTTAGAATTAGTGGACGTCAATTTATTTCATTAAATTTTATACAGTTTATGCATTTTATTATATTTATTTCAGAGTTTCTTGTATGTTTCATTTTTACTTCCGGTATCTACATTCATAAAGTGATGAAGGTTTTAATGGGGGTTGAGTTATGTTGGACATCTGAGGAGGAGGGGTTACAAAAACTTGGACAAACTGGGACAAAAGGAGGTGAGTAAAAATTTCAAGAAAAATGAAGATGTAATTTATGGACAGCCCAAGTGCTTAATTAGACTGCAAAAAATGGACTTACACTACATCACTTTCATAATCAATGGTTATGCAATTTACCGATGAATTTTTAATTGATCAAAATGTATGGTTATTTCAAAATACTAAGTGTGAATTGTTTATAAATAAAAAGTTCACACTAAATTGTATGTATATTATGTGATTTCTCAATTTTTTCCAAAAATGGGCTTACACCACTTTCAAAATAAATGGTCCATATTTAGATAATAGGTTGGTAATTAATAAAAACAAGACAAAATTTCTCTGTTTTGCCAATAGAAACAAAAAAGTCAACTTTGACCACCTAAAACTCAGCATAACTGATAACATAGAAAGAGTAAACGCTATCAAGGTTTTATGAATAACTTTTGATGATAATCTGTGCTGGAACAAATAGATGATGTTGCTCTATTCTTGGCAAAATATATTAGGATAAACAAGAAAATTCAAAACTTTTTAAGTACATTACATTTGAAATGGTTGTACCATATATGCATAGAATTCAGCATCTTTATACGCTGTCAATAAACTTCAGGTGGTACAAAAATCGCTACATGCATTCAATTCGTAATCTACATTACAGGGAATCAGTGTCAGAATTTTACTGTACCAACAATATTGATAGGATATGTGAAATTTACATGAAGCAAGTTCTGTTAAGAGAGTTATCTATATATATAAAAATGAATATATGTCTGTCTATCAGTCTGTCCTTCATGCATTACTACACCATTTATCCGATTGCCATGAAATTTTGGGAAGTTGTTTAATATACTCCCGCGAAGGTTTCTGGCATAGTACATTTATCCTACGATAGATGGTGCGCATGTATACGAGCATTTCAGCACGGTGAAACTTTGGACACAGATATTTTCTTGGATTGATGTACAAAATACGCTTATTCCTCAATAAAGAATACTATTTCGAGTAAGATTCGGTTGTTTTGTTCTTTGAATTAAATTATATATGATTATTTGTGTAGAATTTGTGTTAAATTTATTATCTTTCCTCTTTATTCTGATGTTAGTTATCTTGGCTAACCGCATCAAACTTTCTGCCATTAAAACACCACATGATTGTATTTTCTCATGTGACTACCGGACGAACTGTTATTGGCTGATAGAAACGCATCTTGGCGGCGGCTGCCGCAAAAGATAAAATTCAACCAACTTTTGCGGCACGAGAAAAGTGGCACAAAATTGAATTCTGCGGTGAGAAAAAGTGACGTCATCCTGCCGCTTTTCCTTGCCGCGCCGCATGTGTACATCCGGCTTTAAACAAGGGATTTTTTTAAATTCCCCCCCCCGTGGGGAAAGTGACAGGATTAATTAATAAAGGCTTCAACAATGGAAGTGTTAAAAGAAAGCAACGTGCAAGATTTACAGGCGCAGATACAGTTTTTTGCGTTAAATCGAACATAATTTTAGACCCATCTAAAATTTTTCTTAGTCTGGAAACAGGGAACCTAATTCTTGCATTCTGTGAAAACGGGTAAGATTGACTGTAATGTAATAATCTTAATCTTCGCTATCGTTACTTTTTGCCCAAGCAACGCCGGGCTTATCTGCTAGTAAATACATAAAGGGTAACAAGGAAAATAGCTATCTCAGAAATAACATAGATAAATGTCGAAAATCAACACGACATACTTGCAAGATCTGTGGATATAATCTTTTGATTGTTAAACAGATTGAAACAGTTCATTTTATTTTATCTTGGGCTCTGTTAATTGTGGATAATTAAGAAAGACGTGATAAATACTACCAGTCTCACTATTGGAAGAAGAAACATAACATTTTATATTTTTAATTATTATCGAGTGCAAAAATCTTAATTTTGAGGGTAGTGATGAGTTTAAAAAAATTGCAAGTGTTAATAACGAATAGCATCTTCATTAAGTCCAACCTCTCTGGAGATATGACACATGACAACCCTATATCTCCCCACCTCTTTAATATTAAGGAGCTATGATGCTATTAAATTTTGGTGGTACTTTTTACCCTTTCTTGCCTGGTGTCAGGAAAAAGACTAGGAAGATCGTAAGACTTCCAGCCACTTTTAAAATTATCATTATCATTTCCATCCACTGACAAAGTGAGTGGTCCTTATCGAACTGTTGTCAGAATCATGCGTAGAATATTACATTCACTCCTCACTTCTCTCATTAGCAGACAGAAAATTTAGATATTGTCACTTATGAATGCTCTGCTAATATTTTAAACTTACTGGCTCAAGATATCAATATTAAAGATGCAATTAAAGAGCAAATTAAGCACATCATTGTAAACTTCCAAAATCATCATTCCCCAAAAGCCAAATACAAAGAGGCAGGTGGAAAGGGATTGATCTTACCACAGGATGTATGTTGAAACAGCTTAACTGATTGCTTAGAACCATACATTTAGAACTAGCCTATCCTAATGAAGGTACTATCATCTCTAAGTAGTTTTCATTTTCTTATTTTATAGTGTGGGTAATATCACTAATTCATAAAGCATATGCTAGTTGTGTTGAAGTGTGATTACTTATAGTAATAATATACTTATAATAATAATGATGAGATAAAATATAAGATTATTTTATTTTGTAAACTGACTGTTTACTCTAATCCAGTTAACACTTTTCTCTAACTGCACTTAAATAACAACCAAACCTCGACAAAAACCTGTAATATGCAAGGCACTGGCACTGTATCACAAAGCAAAGTGAAATTACAACACATTGATTCATTTATTGTGAAAACATCAACTAATCAAAAAACACAATTAACCCAAAACAGATTTGTTTTATAGAAATCAGAATCGTTTGATTTTTTTTGTTCCTGAAGTTCATTCAAATGGCCAAAACATTTGAAAAGTTAATAAAAAAAAGGCTGCATATTAAATGTTTATGTTGAGGTTTGAATGCTAGTTAACTCTACTCATGTACTCAATGAGTATTGAATTATGAGTATCAAATGTTTAATCCTAAAAACCATTATAAATCATATGATAACAGGTTTGCGATGAAAACAGGCTCTTCATTCACAAGGATATTGTGCCAAAGTTCAAAACCTTGGAATTAAGCATGATGCCAAAGATTTGCTGACACATTTAAAGATCATTGTTGTTATATTAGATAAAATGCAAAGAAATGACTGAAGGAGTTGAATTATGGTTTAAGTTAGCCAGAATTGTTTTTTGCAACCAATCTAATTTCAAAATTGTGTTCATTAAATTCATTAATTTTATACATCTAATGATATTATTACTTTTATAGTGTTCAAAATGACTTGCAACAAATTGGAATTACTGGAGTCACTCAAGCAACCAAAGATAGATTTGATATGGTTATCACAGACTATCACCTTTTAGCAAATCTTCTGGACCCAAGATACCAGGGTGTAAAGCTCACACAGTATGAAGGATGCTGCACTAACTTTGTGCAAAAACTACCCCATTTCTGCAACACATTTGCAGAGTCTGTACTAACTAATATCACTCCTCTTAAATGGTGGCAGTTGTTACATGACAGAATTGATGAATCTCTTAAAATTATTTACACAGCTACACACAGCAGTGGCTTCTTCAGTGGGAATTGAGAGAATTTTCTCTACCTATGGACTCATTCATTCAAAACTTAGAAATAGACTTGGACAGGAAAAGGCAGCAAATCTTGTTAGTTTCCAAGCACCTAACAAACACTAACGAGTGTTGTACCTTTCTGAAAAAAACAACTTCTTCAAGCTGAAGAAGACACTGCTGTCAATCCTGTTTTGGTATTTGTACATGTGAATTTTAAAAATGCTATATTTTATATTAAAGAAAACATTCTGTACATTCTTGGATCTTATGCTGAAGTTTTTCTGCTATTTTTCTATTTTACTATATCAAGTGTTTTATTTCCAAAAAAACATTTTAAATCTGATACTTATGTTTTAAAAATTTTTTTTAAATCATGTCAAACCCTGGTTAAATGCCTGTCAAAAAATAATAAATGCTATGAATATATGTTAAATGCTTTTTGTATCGTTTTGTTTTCTTAAAGGTGGAGAGACTCATGCAATTTTATTACTTATTTCTCTTTGTCAAAATCTATGCATTGGTACTATCTAGGCCAGGGGTGGCCAAACCGTGGCGCATGCGCCAAACTTGGCGCATTGGACGATTACAAGTGGCGCTTTAGTCAGTTCTGAGCAACATTGCCAGATTTGGCTTCTTTGCAATTAAGAATATTACATAGAAAATTAATTTTTTATAGTCTGTCTTGGCAAGTTCATTTGTTGCACAATTCGTTGCAATCAACTTTACAGATAAAATGAGTGTTCTCCACATAGTAAATTACAGTGTATGCATGTATGTTTATTTTCGATCAGTGCATAGGCGTCTAAATGACAGNTGAAGCTACCTGTGGTTTCCTTGTTTCATTTTCACTTTCTGAATCTGAAGCTACCTGTGGTTTCCTTGTTTCATTTTCACTTTCTGAATCTGAAGCTACCTGTGGTTTCCTTGTTTCATTTTCACTTTCTGAATCTGAAGCTACCTGTGGTTTCCTTGTTTCATTTTCACTTTCTGAATCTGAAGCTACCTGTGGTTTCCTTGTTTCATTTTCACTTTCTGAATCTGAAGCTACCTGTGGTTTCCTTGTTTCATTTTCACTTTCTGAATCTGAAGCTACCTGTGGTTTCCTTGTTTCATTTTCACTTTCTGAATCTGAAGCTACCTGTGGTTTCCTTGTTTCATTTTCACTTTCTGAATCTGAAGCTACCTGTGGTTTCCTTGTTTCATTTTCACTTTCTGAATCTGAAGCTACCTGTGGTTTCCTTGTTTCATTTTCACTTTCTGAATCTGAAGCTACCTGTGGTTTCCTTGTTTCATTTTCACTTTCTGAATCTGAAGCTACCTGTGGTTTCCTTGTTTCATTTTCACTTTCTGAATCTGAAGCTACCTGTGGTTTCCTTGTTTCATTTTCACTTTCTGAATCTGAAGCTACCTGTGGTTTCCTTGTTTCATTTTCACTTTCTGAATCTGAAGCTACCTGTGGTTTCCTTGTTTCATTTTCACTTTCTGAATCTGAAGCTACCTGTGGTTTCCTTGTTTCATTTTCACTTTCTGAATCTGAAGCTACCTGTGGTTTCCTTGTTTCATTTTCACTTTCTGAATCTGAAGCTACCTGTGGTTTCCTTGTTTCATTTTCACTTTCTGAATCTGAAGCTACCTGTGGTTTCCTTGTTTCATTTTCACTTTCTGAATCTGAAGCTACCTGTGGTTTCCTTGTTTCATTTTCACTTTCTGAATCTGAAGCTACCTGTGGTTTCCTTGTTTCATTTTCACTTTCTGAATCTGAAGCTACCTGTGGTTTCCTTGTTTCATTTTCACTTTCTGAATCTGAAGCTACCTGTGGTTTCCTTGTTTCATTTTCACTTTCTGAATCTGAAGCTACCTGTGGTTTCCTTGTTTCATTTTCACTTTCTGAATCTGAAGCTACCTGTGGTTTCCTTGTTTCATTTTCACTTTCTGAATCTGAAGCTACCTGTGGTTTCCTTGTTTCATTTTCACTTTCTGAATCTGAAGCTACCTGTGGTTTCCTTGTTTCATTTTCACTTTCTGAATCTGAAGCTACCTGTGGTTTCCTTGTTTCATTTTCACTTTCTGAATCTGAAGCTACCTGTGGTTTCCTTGTTTCATTTTCACTTTCTGAATCTGAAGCTACCTGTGGTTTCCTTGTTTCATTTTCACTTTCTGAATCTGAAGCTACCTGTGGTTTCCTTGTTTCATTTTCACTTTCTGAATCTGAAGCTACCTGTGGTTTCCTTGTTTCATTTTCACTTTCTGAATCTGAAGCTACCTGTGGTTTCCTTGTTTCATTTTCACTTTCTGAATCTGAAGCTACCTGTGGTTTCCTTGTTTCATTTTCACTTTCTGAATCTGAAGCTACCTGTGGTTTCCTTGTTTCATTTTCACTTTCTGAATCTGAAGCTACCTGTGGTTTCCTTGTTTCATTTTCACTTTCTGAATCTGAAGCTACCTGTGGTTTCCTTGTTTCATTTTCACTTTCTGAATCTGAAGCTACCTGTGGTTTCCTTGTTTCATTTTCACTTTCTGAATCTGAAGCTACCTGTGGTTTCCTTGTTTCATTTTCACTTTCTGAATCTGAAGCTACCTGTGGTTTCCTTGTTTCATTTTCACTTTCTGAATCTGAAGCTACCTGTGGTTTCCTTGTTTCATTTTCACTTTCTGAATCTGAAGCTACCTGTGGTTTCCTTGTTTCATTTTCACTTTCTGAATCTGAAGCTACCTGTGGTTTCCTTGTTTCATTTTCACTTTCTGAATCTGAAGCTACCTGTGGTTTCCTTGTTTCATTTTCACTTTCTGAATCTGAAGCTACCTGTGGTTTCCTTGTTTCATTTTCACTTTCTGAATCTGAAGCTACCTGTGGTTTCCTTGTTTCATTTTCACTTTCTGAATCTGAAGCTACCTGTGGTTTCCTTGTTTCATTTTCACTTTCTGAATCTGAAGCTACCTGTGGTTTCCTTGTTTCATTTTCACTTTCTGAATCTGAAGCTACCTGTGGTTTCCTTGTTTCATTTTCACTTTCTGAATCTGAAGCTACCTGTGGTTTCCTTGTTTCATTTTCACTTTCTGAATCTGAAGCTACCTGTGGTTTCCTTGTTTCATTTTCACTTTCTGAATCTGAAGCTACCTGTGGTTTCCTTGTTTCATTTTCACTTTCTGAATCTGAAGCTACCTGTGGTTTCCTTGTTTCATTTTCACTTTCTGAATCTGAAGCTACCTGTGGTTTCCTTGTTTCATTTTCACTTTCTGAATCTGAAGCTACCTGTGGTTTCCTTGTTTCATTTTCACTTTCTGAATCTGAAGCTACCTGTGGTTTCCTTGTTTCATTTTCACTTTCTGAATCTGAAGCTACCTGTGGTTTCCTTGTTTCATTTTCACTTTCTGAATCTGAAGCTACCTGTGGTTTCCTTGTTTCATTTTCACTTTCTGAATCTGAAGCTACCTGTGGTTTCCTTGTTTCATTTTCACTTTCTGAATCTGAAGCTACCTGTGGTTTCCTTGTTTCATTTTCACTTTCTGAATCTGAAGCTACCTGTGGTTTCCTTGTTTCATTTTCACTTTCTGAATCTGAAGCTACCTGTGGTTTCCTTGTTTCATTTTCACTTTCTGAATCTGAAGCTACCTGTGGTTTCCTTGTTTCATTTTCACTTTCTGAATCTGAAGCTACCTGTGGTTTCCTTGTTTCATTTTCACTTTCTGAATCTGAAGCTACCTGTGGTTTCCTTGTTTCATTTTCACTTTCTGAATCTGAAGCTACCTGTGGTTTCCTTGTTTCATTTTCACTTTCTGAATCTGAAGCTACCTGTGGTTTCCTTGTTTCATTTTCACTTTCTGAATCTGAAGCTACCTGTGGTTTCCTTGTTTCATTTTCACTTTCTGAATCTGAAGCTACCTGTGGTTTCCTTGTTTCATTTTCACTTTCTGAATCTGAAGCTACCTGTGGTTTCCTTGTTTCATTTTCACTTTCTGAATCTGAAGCTACCTGTGGTTTCCTTGTTTCATTTTCACTTTCTGAATCTGAAGCTACCTGTGGTTTCCTTGTTTCATTTTCACTTTCTGAATCTGAAGCTACCTGTGGTTTCCTTGTTTCATTTTCACTTTCTGAATCTGAAGCTACCTGTGGTTTCCTTGTTTCATTTTCACTTTCTGAATCTGAAGCTACCTGTGGTTTCCTTGTTTCATTTTCACTTTCTGAATCTGAAGCTACCTGTGGTTTCCTTGTTTCATTTTCACTTTCTGAATCTGAAGCTACCTGTGGTTTCCTTGTTTCATTTTCACTTTCTGAATCTGAAGCTACCTGTGGTTTCCTTGTTTCATTTTCACTTTCTGAATCTGAAGCTACCTGTGGTTTCCTTGTTTCATTTTCACTTTCTGAATCTGAAGCTACCTGTGGTTTCCTTGTTTCATTTTCACTTTCTGAATCTGAAGCTACCTGTGGTTTCCTTGTTTCATTTTCACTTTCTGAATCTGAAGCTACCTGTGGTTTCCTTGTTTCATTTTCACTTTCTGAATCTGAAGCTACCTGTGGTTTCCTTGTTTCATTTTCACTTTCTGAATCTGAAGCTACCTGTGGTTTCCTTGTTTCATTTTCACTTTCTGAATCTGAAGCTACCTGTGGTTTCCTTGTTTCATTTTCACTTTCTGAATCTGAAGCTACCTGTGGTTTCCTTGTTTCATTTTCACTTTCTGAATCTGAAGCTACCTGTGGTTTCCTTGTTTCATTTTCACTTTCTGAATCGGAAGCTATCTGTGGTTTCTTTGTTTCATTTTCACTGTCTGAATCAGAAGCTATTCTTCGTACTTTTTTATCACTTCCTGCATCACTTTCAGAATCAGACACTACATGTTGTCTTTTCTCTTCATTTTCTACTTCACTTTCAGAATCTGAAGCTATTCTTCTTCTTTTATTGGTCTGAGCTTCTTCACTGCCACTTGGACTTGACGGACTGGGAGGAATTGTAGGTTGTGGAGGTTCTTTGTCACTATCACTATCATCACTAGAGGATATTGTAGCTTTAGATACTACTCGACTACGTTGTTTGGCTGTTAAGCCATCATCAGATACTTTTGTTTTCTTACGCTCTGCTTTTCTTCTTCCATGCTTTTGCTTTTCTTCCTCACTACCACCATCTTCAGCACGATGTCTTTTCTTATGCTTTTTCTTTCTTTCTTTGTTTTCACCACCTTCTCCTTCTGAGCCGCTTGATGCTCTCTTCTTTCTTTTCTTTTTTGGTTCATTTTCGTTCTCTGAACTACTTCCATCTGTAATATAATCATCGTGGATTTTACGACGACCTCCTTTCCTTTTCTCCTCAACCACTTCTGTGAATAGTAATTTATTTTTACTTTTCTCTACAAATTCCTGACGTTTCTGAATTAATTCCATTTCTTGCTTTTGACGCCATTCTTCAAGACGGCGTTGTTCATCAACTAATTTCTGTCGAAGTGCTTCCCTTTCCTCTTCTTGTTTGCGACGCACTTCACGTTCTTCTTCATCTAGACGTTTTGCTCTTGCAACATGATACTGAGCTTGACTTAATAAATCTTGACATTGTCGTGCTTCAGCAGCAGCCTGGGCTAAATCATATTTCATTCTATCACCATGAACACTAAGATACTGGAAATACCTATGAGCCAACCCTAATTCATGAACAGCAGCAAGAACAGTTTTTAAATTACTTTTCTCATCTTTTAATGTTTGTGTTGCTAATTTTTGTAAAACCAAAGCAATATTATATAATAAAACTGTATCATGAGGTGCCACACGGCGTGCTTTCAGTAATACTTGTTTACATTCTTTCAACTTTCCACATCTAAAATAAGCACGAGCAAGATACATTAAAATTTCTACATTGTGATACTTAAAAAATTTTTTCAAACAGTTTTCATACATTTGAATGGCTGCAACATATTGCTTTTGTTCAACATAAATATGAGCTATATTTAACCAAACATCACAAAAATCTGCTGTAGCTTCTCTTACTTGAGCAAATATATCTCTTGCTTCAGATATATAACCTTTATGAGCTAAAACTGCTCCTATTCCATTAGCTGCCCAAATATTTCGTGGATCACATCTTAATACCTGTTTGTACATTGCCAAGGCTCTATCTTGATGTCTTTTCTCCTTTTCTTTGTCTTTTGTTGGTTGATGAAGAGTCTGTAACCATACATTTCCAAGAGCAACTAAAGAATATGTATCATTGCCAGTTACTTCTTGTTTGAGAATACGTTCAAATTTTTTCTGCCCTGGTCCCCATTCTTGTTTAGCTAAATGAAGATTTCCAATTAATGACCAAGCATCAGGATGATCTTGGTTAACTTGTAATGCTTCTTTGAACCAATCAGAAGCTTCGTATATCTGACCCCTATCTCTTGCCATGCAACCAAGTCTTAGATAACAGTCAACATAATTTGGATGTTCTCTTAAGATATTCTTATATAAAGGTTCAGCCATATCAAATTGAAACAAAGATTCCATGAGTCGGGCTAAATTATATGTTGTTGTTACAGATATGGAACTGTAATAATGTTCATCATGTCTTGCTTCAGATCTAGAGCGTTCCAAAGAGGCTTCATAATATCGTTTGGCTTCCTGTAAATTTCCTAAACGAAAATGCAAAGCTCCAACATTATTTAAAATTTCAGGTGGTACATCAGCCTGTACCTTCTCATTTAAAATTTGAGTAGCAATACCATAAGCTGATAGAGCTCCTTGTATATCTGACTGCTCTAAAATTTGTGCTAATTCAATCCAAGCTTCCACATCATCTGGAAACTGTTCTGTTACTTTTTTTAAATGACTTCTTGCTTGATCCCTTTTTGATTGACTTGTAGAATGAGCATAAAGGGAACCTAAAATTTTCATTGTTTCATAATTTCCAGGTTGAACTTTTAAAACCTTTTCAAAACATTGAGCAGCATTTTCACTGTCTCCTCTGTATATGTACATTTGTCCTAATCCAAAATGTGGCAAAACAAATGATGGTGAAGCAAATTGTGTTGCTTGATAGTAATACTGAAATGCTTGATCATAATCTTCTTGAATATGAAATGCTCTAGCAAGCTGATAACAACTTTCAGCTCTCATTGCTTCATTTTCTGTATTATGAAATGCATGTAATGCTAAATGCTGAACTTTATCATAGTCTTTTTTAAAAAAGAAATGATTAGCTAAATGATTTAAAACCATAGGATTTGATGGATCAATAGAATATGCCTTTGATAGCATTTGAACACCATTTCTGATAGAATCAGGTGTTTTCTGATTTAATTCTAATACTGCAAGTCCAACTAATGCTCCTACACAATGGGAATCTAATTGAAGAGCCCTTTCAAAAGCTAATCTTGCTTTATCATGTTTGTTTAATTTATAAAAGCAATGTCCCATTCCAAGTCTAACAGCTGCAGGACATTTTGGATTAGTTCTCAATGCTTTTTTATAAAATGCAAGGGCTCCTCTGTAATCTTTCTTATTAAAAGCTATACATGCTTTACCAAGTAAAGATGGGATATTGTTTGGAGACTGATTTAAAACAAAATTAAACTGTGCATCTGCTTGATCCATCTTATCTCCTTCTAAAAGACAAAAGTAAGCTCTACCTAAAAGATGATTTTGGTCATACATTATGATCTTATCTGCTGTTGTATACAGTAAAGTTGCTTTAGTGAAAAGTTCCCTTTTCTTGTCTTTATTCTTTTCTTTATTAGCTTGTTGCACATAATATGCAGCTAATGTGTCAAAAGCTTTCATCTGATCCCTTTCAAATTCTCTGTAATCAAGATTAGCATCTGTTCGAGATACATCTAATATCTTCACAAATTCATCAACTTTACCTTGCCGATAGTATTCTAATGCTAATGTAACCCATATATTTAATGGTGCTTGTTCTTGACTTAGAATTCCTAAAACTTCATCTCCATCCGGTATCTGATCCAAATCTAGCTCTATGACTTCATCAGTATCCCTCAAGGGAATTTCTATTGATTGTGAAGCCATATTGACTTATTTTTAATTCTGTAAAAAAGTGATTATGAATCAATATAAAATTAATGTAAATTAAATAATATGAAATAAGAGTACAATGTAAGAATTTTTTTGAAGAATTAAACTGAAAACAATTTATCAACTATAATAATTATGTGAATATATATTAAGTATAAAATATTGTATATAATTTTATTATGTATATGGGCCTACACACACACACACACACCTGCATACAGACCACTGATTTACATCAGTGTTTCTCAATGGGGCGATATCATTTTTCCATGTTGAGGGAGCGATATCATTTTTCCATGTTGAGGGGGCGATATCGTTTTTCCATATTGAGGGGGCGATTAGTAACAATTTATATTTTGGGGGGCAAAAAACAATTTTCTGGGCGATATAGTAAAACATTATATTAAATAAGAATAATTAGATATTTTATTTGTTACATTGTACAATAATTAAACAAACAACATTATACTAGTCACTAGTCTATTCAATGCAGTATGAATTTGGTGTTAGCCTTGGCCCTCGGCATTGGAATTTTGAAGTGAAGGGAGCAATACTATGTTGAAGGGGGCAGTGATTCATTAGATGTTGAGAAACACTGATTTACATGATAGATTGGTTCTGTGTAAAATTGAAATTATGTAAATTAAAATAATGTCTCTATTATTATATGAGAAATGAAATGAGATGAAAAGATTCTAAGGTTACATTTTTCACTAAGGTCAAATGCAGTAAAAGTGTATCCATGGGGTAACTGCACATTTCTGTAACATCTCATCAGCCAATCAAAATTAAGCTGATACCAATTCATTGATTTGTAGCTCATTTCAACATGGCTTGAAGAAGAATAGACTTTTTAAATAACTGTTACAACAATGGTTTGAAAAGTCTATATACGTTCAGTGCTTTTCTTCTGACAGGATGTAACTACAGTCATTTTTGTATGTAAAATTCAGTATTTGTGATTTTTAAGATACAATATTTAGACAAATATTGTAAAATGATAGGTGCAAATATCCTAAGTTGTGAATTATTTCATCCACGTGTTTTGTCACAATAGACCAGACTACCCCTTAAAATTTTGATTGTTGGGTAAGAGCTGTTTCACACTATGACCAACTGGTCTGACTCCAAGTCGTGTTGCCATAGCAACAGCAGTCAGCTGACTGATTGGTTGTTCCAGTCGGACAGATTTAAAAAGTTAAATATTTGTAGTCAGGTCAGAGCAGTCAGTGAGCTACAGCCAATGAGAACTTTGAAACTATAACCAATCAGACTTTGGATATATGAAAACTATCGAATCAATCAAACATAACTTTATATTATACAGTATATACTTCTAATTTATTTAAATTTTCTCTTGTACCTTATTTCTTTCATAACTGCTTAAATTTTATATGGAAACACAAATGACTTTNCAGCCGACATACTGGTTGATCCAGTTGGACAGAGTTAAAAAGTTAAATATTTGTAGTCAGGTTGGAGCAGTCAGTGAGCTACAGCCAATGAGAGCTTCAAAACTACAGCCAATTATTTGGATATATGAAAACTATCAAATCAATCAAACATGACTTTACATTATATATGTTTCTAATTTATTTAAATTTTCCCTTGTACCTTATTTCTTTTATAACTGCTTAAATTTTATATGGGAACACAAATGACTTTAATATATATATTAAAATGCATTATCGATGTAATGAGAAAAGATGGTATTATTTCGACTTTTTGGAAGAATTTATAAACGAAGTAAGATCATATCTGCAAAGTTTAACCAGGTAGATTACAAAAATATTTTTAAAAATTAGAAAAACTTAAAACAATTTCTAACACCTGTTTCAATTAGTCCTTACAAATCGGCCACCGACATAAAATCATACTCAATGTGAATGCTTCTATTACTAGTCGGTCCAATTGTAGGATTGGTCGGGTCGGACCAATCGGTCCAGTTGGTCATAGTGTGAAACAGCCTTAAGTGCACTCATGCCAATAGGTAAATATATGTTCAACATATCTATTCTGTTGGCATGGGTGTCTAGAAGTCTGTCTGTATAAACCTTTTGTATTCTACTTACTGTATAAACTCAAGATGAATTTGTGTGTGGCAGAAGGAAGCACTACCATAGCAGTTGATTATTCCATAATTATGAAGTTTCCAACAAAAGTGTTCAACATTGTTGGAGAAGTTGTCATTATCAATTTTGCTAAACACAGTGTAAAGGGTATGTACAGTACTTTGTGATGAAGAAATCTAGGGGATACGTTTTCCAACAGCCAGATGTGGAAGATTACAAGACATTCCTCTCCTAGATATTATCAAGTCTCTTGGAAAAACATGCCACATTTGAAGACGTGGTTTAATTACTTCTTGTTGCAACTTCATGTCTCTGTTTTTGGAAGCACCTTACTCAATTACCTGGAGTAAGGCGCTTCAAAAGTAGTCTTATACTGCATTTGCACACAATTCATGACTCACTTTAATCTCAATTGCAACTGTCACCAGTCGAACGTCGAGCAGACTGCCTGTTCATCCGGCTATTGAAATGATAAAACTGACATAACTACTCGATAAGTCATGAACACAACAAACAAAATGAAAGTTTTGGTTATAAATAAATATTTTTTCTTGCTATATATCTAATAATAGATATTTGGAGAGATGATGAGATATGGCTGTTTTATTTCTCTGTTGATAGCCGACATGTGTTCCACAGCCATCTTGTTTCTTCTCATGCACTTGAGATTGTGGGAACTCTCTTATGACTGGATCTAGTTTCAAAAAATCTTGTGTTGATCGCGATTGAAAGGGTCGAGAGAGGTCACACCACAGCACAGTTGTTGATCTTATCACAATCTAGATTGAAATGCTCAGTGCAAATGGGTATTAGACTATCTTTTCTAGAGAAAGCTACTCTCAAGCAATTTCATCTTGCTTTGTAAATCACTTTACATTTCTATTGCAACTAGAGACCTAAGTTGCAATAAATAATAATTTTACTGTTGCCTTTTAGTGTGTCATCATCATCATCATTACTTCATTTACTATGGCCATACTTGTAGTGGAGCATACTGAAGTCTGTATACAAACAAAATTGTTACTGTCACAATTTGCACACATTTGCCCCCACCATTTGATTTTATTTGAATCTTCCTAGCTGTTTACAGTGGAGGATGCACTTACCCCAACTAATGCTTACCTGCATTAGTGGGGGGGGAGTAAGTGTACAGTTCATCACTGTAAATAGCTGGAACTGAAATTTTTAAAAAACATTCTGGCTCAACAAATAATTCAAGACCTATAATACTCACAAGCTGTTGCTAGTTAAGTTTATTCCAGTAATTGGTTTTCAAAGTCAGATCATCTTTACTTTGCTTGACTGGTTAAAACTTTCAAATTTCAGAATTTTGAAGGTGCACTCACCCAACTTGATCTTAACAAATACGAAATAAACAAAAGTTTCTCCTCTTTCTTCTTCACTATTTAATAAAGAAATGTTTTCTCCCTGTTTTAGTCAAAAACCTCATGTCAATAACTTCTTCAATTGCAGTTTTTCCTAATAGTTTACCAAAGACATTAGCAGCTTTTACACATATATTCTTAAATGTGTAACTGAGTGGCCCATTCCTGCACATATGTTAGGACGGGAGTAGGATTTTGATGGGTAAGATTGTGGAGTAAAAAAATACAACACATAGGAGTGGACATGTAAATGCAAGACAGCACACATTCTCGCCTGACTGCTTGGCACAAGGAGTGTTGAACATTTTCAAAAGTTTTGAGTGGTACATCCTTGAATGTGATCACATTGTAATCGAGTCAGCCTTGTTATGAGTTCAAATAAAAAATTGTGTGTGCTATTGCTGCTTCTGAAATACATATAATAGTTAATAGCAAAAACAAAAATAAATAAATAAATAAATAAACCAAAGCATCATACTCGAGTGAAAGAATATATGCACAGCTATAGTCATTTTCTGGCCTCATTTACATATTTTTATACATACTCCTTACCTTTGACACACCATAAGCAAGAAAGTTCTTTATACAAATTTATAAAATTGATTACAAATTCTTTCATCCAGCAACGAGAATCCACCATAGTTGCTTCTCACAGTTAATGTGTATATGTAAATGTGAGGATGGTTTAACCACAACAAGATATGCCTATGTGACTTACTGCAAGCCAAATTCACCTTTACACTAACACTTTTGCATGTGCATGTGTGGCTCATGTAGTTAAACTTGTGTGTGTATAATAGCTGTTATTCAGTCTTCTCTTAACAAAATCTGTCATCAACAAGTTTGTTTGTTTAAAAAACATTACATAGAAATAAAAGAACAAACTTCCTGATATTAAACTAAGTTAAATGCATATGAAGTTGTGACACAGTACAAAATGCAGAATATCATCTCAGTGAATATGAAAATTGAAAGTAGTAGTAACACAACTGGAATATAATAACAATCAGCATAGGATAAACATTAATTTATTAATGAAAATACTTAAACTCCTACTAGTGTCTATTAAACAACATAAAACAATATTTTGTTGTATTTTTTGGACTGTGTTAAACTAAAATTTTGAAATTTGAGTACCATGCAAATTGAAGGTTAGGCACATGTGCATATGCATGTGCATGCATTTGTAAATTATAATATTTTATATAATACCATTCAAAGAAAATTAGTCAGAATGTTATACTCACAATTCTTACAGACTGGAATGACACTATTAAAAATTCTTAAAAGTGTCTTCTAAAATAAAACTCCAATATCTGCTTACTCATATATAATAATAAAATAATCAAAATAATAATCTTTGTAGTGTTCTCACAACACTACAAAGATTAATCTTTGTAGTGTTGTGAGAACACTACAAAGATTATTATTTTGATTATTTTATTATTATATATGAGTAAGCAGATATTGGAGTTTTATTTTAGAAGACACTTTTAAGAATTTTTAATAGTGTCATTCCAGTCTNTCAACTGTTGCAAAGATTATTATTTTATTATATCGATGTCACTGAAAGATTTTAAACTTATGTATATGGGAAAAAAACAAAAAAAAAAAAAACACAAATGTTTGAAAAGCAACATTTGCAAAGATAATCAAAAGCATTCCAATTCTTAAAAATCATAGATCTGGCAAAGATCCAGAGGGAAGGATTGAAAACATCAGTTTGTATATGAGTAAGCAAGTACTGAAGTTTTATTTTAGAAGAAACTTTGAAGAATTTTTAATACTGTCACTTCAGTCTGAAAGAATTGTGAGTAAAGCATTCTAAGCTATTCCAACTAAGATGAATCGAAAAATAGTGCTAATCCTAACCAGAGCTAGGATTAAATTCACGTTTCTATCAAAATGCATGAGAAACAGTGTTCTTGATATCTATCTTTTGAATACATCTCCCAATTGGATGCACTTCTCTGTTACCAAAGTTAAAGCATTTATGCTTGAGGAATGTGCTACAAAGAAAATTATATTCAACAAACTCAACAACTCAATCTGGAAAATGAGATGTTTGCTAAGGATGCAAGGATACTAGATGAGGTAAATATAAGTGTGACACACATGCAAGAAAGACTGAACCATAAGCAAAAGCTTAAATATAATAAGAAATTGCATTTGATACTATTCAAACAAAAACCAAAAACAGTGGAATATAACAACTTGTCGCTAATCTGTTGGGACAACGTTACTCTCCCTTTGTATTTTGTCAAAACTGTCAGAAAGGGGCCCAAATATGCACCAAACTGCAGCAAACATCATGCCTGAAGTAGATACAACTGGGACGGATGGCTGCCGTTAAGAATTTTTCAATGGAAAATGACATTTAAAATAAAATTGGTTAATAAATGCCCACAAGCAGAAAATATTTGGTTAAATATTACAAGGTATAGGAGATGGTTAAATGAAAATCATATTATCTTATTGAAAGTGAAATAAAATTACATAGAAATAAAATCTTATTACATAGAAATAAAAGAACAAACTTCCTGATATTAAACTAAGTTAAATGCATATGAAGTTGTGACACAGTACAAAATGCAGAATACCATCTCAGTAAATATGAAAACTTAAACTCCTACTAGTGTCTATTAAACAACATAAAACAATATTTTGTTGTATTTTTTGGACTGTGTTAAACTAAAATTTTGAAATTTGAGTACCATGCAAATTGAAGGTTAGGCACATGTGCATATGCATGCGCATGCATTTGTAAATTATAATATTTTATATAATACCATTCAAAGAAAATTAGTCAGAATGTTATACTCACAATTCTTACTATGCAATGCATTAGTACTAATGAAAGAGCAATGCATTAGTACTAATGAAAGAGGAGACATACAAATCTCAACTAAAACAATATATTAAAGACACCTGTTGCAAACTAATAAACGGACAAACTGGGATGGATATATGGACAAACTTCAAACACAAGTGGTCTCCTCCACACACACAGCACTAGCTAGGACAGAGGTCACCAAACTATGGCCCACAAGGTCAGTTTATCCAGCTCACCATCACACTGTGTTGCAAATGAGCTAAAATATGGAAATATCCTGGATTATAGATAAACATACTATGTAGAAAAAAATTAAAGCAAGTTTAAGTAAAAATCCTCAAATTTGTCCAATCTGATTTTTGCATCTGACAGTAACAATTTTTAGTTAAATAAGCAAAATAAAAAATTTGGCAACTTTTTACAACTTTGGATATCAGAGCACTTTTTATGTAAGTACCTGCAATGAAGTTTCTAAGAAAGGTGATTAGCTTGCATTGATGTTTAAAACTATCTTATTACTAATGTCACCTTCTGTGGTAACTTTTTGGTAAATAAATATGTTGGTTGTCTTTATTTTTGTGTATTCAGTGTACTGCATTGAACAAAATGGCTATGCAGCCTGCACTCGTTATTCTCCGAGTTATCTGACCTGCTGTGAAAAAAGTTTGGTAACCCGAGCTAGGAGGTTATAACTGGACAAGATCCTTTCACCAGATATCCCCAAACTGTTCACATCCACTAAGAAACATACATATGGCACTACTCTATGACCTGTTGTGAATAAAATACAATCTCACACACACATGCTAGAATCTTTGCTACATAACCAGCTTAAGGAATCTCTATCATGTATGAGAATATCAATATATAATATCCATCTTGTTACAGAAAGATCTGGCAACACCAGAGAGAGAGTGGCACGTGCAAGATGGACGGCCCTGATTAATGTATGCGACTGGAGATCGTCCGGTCCAAGTAGAACCCTGAATAAAGTATTCAGAGTAAGTTTTGTATTACTGTCTTACTGGGGGTCTTAAGTGCGTCACGAACAGCGTGAAAACACAAAGAAAACCATATAAAACAATTACTACCAACCAGGGACACCAGTTTGAATCACGTTTGTTTCGGTCTTTGGCTATTCTAATGGGTTCCAAGCACATACATACATGCTCCTTTCACCCCCAGGCTAATGGTATGATCGAAGGTTGGCATCGGACATTAAAATGTGCCCTGAAAACCTACTTAACAGAACGGTGGACGGAGATACTCCCTACCGTACTACTTGGGTTAAGGACAACGTTCAAGCCTGACCTACAAGCAACGTCCAGTGAGTTAGTCTACGGACAGACAATACGTTTACCAGGTGAATTCTTCGATCCTACCCCAGCGGACATAAACACTGCAGATTTCATAAAGACACTAAAGTCTTTCTTCAAAAACTTAACACCAACGCCGGCAGCATCGCATGGGGAGCCCAAACTTTTTGTTCCCATGCATTTAAGAGACTGTAGCCACGTTTTTCTACGTTACGATGCTGTACGCGCCCCACTACGCCCTCCCTACGACGGACCATTCCCCGTAGTGGAAAAGGGAGACAAATTCTTCAAAATTAAAAAAAATAACAAAGAAGTGGTCGTCTCCATCGACAGACTGAAACCTGCCTTTATGCTCAAGGAGAAAGACTCAATCAGCCCTGCACAGCCGGTGATAGACCAACCCAGCAACAAGATGGCTGGGCATACTCACCAACCAGAACCCGCATATGAGACGAAGA